AGGAGGAGGAGGAGGAGAGGAGGAGGACGAATTCGGGAGAATTCGGCGACGACGAAGTCGAGTTTCGCCCGAGAGACGAGCGCCGCCTCGGGCATGAACATGAGCATGAGCATGAAGGCTGTGTGATCTCCAGTCGACGACAAGGCCAACCTGCAACGACTCGTATTACTAAAATTGTGCACTCCACTATCCCTGACATCAAAGAACTGCACAGCACAGCTCCAGCGCAGTATTCGTGAGCACCCGACTTCGTGATGGCCAGGGACCCTGGCGGCACACTGTCCGCACTTGGCCTGAGGAGCCAAGTCGGCACGCAGCCTGGGCCGCCCCCCTGGCACCACACGAAGAACGACTGGCGTCCCTTCCTTCCACGACCTCTGCCTTTCGCTCGAGGCTCGCGGGGAAACCTGATAACGGGGCCCCCTCGCCGATCTACAGCGCTAATGAGGCCCCCCGAACTACTGCAGATGGGCCGATGGGGCCCAGTGTTCGGGAGCGGCCAAGAGGGGAGTGTCCAAAAGGGGGGGTGCAAATCATGACCGGTGGCATGTGCGCGGCCCAGCGGGGGGGCCAGGGACGTAATGAAACAAGAAGAGGCGCCATGAGATCTCGGGAAATATCATGTCCCCCGCCATGATATCCACCCCCCCTGGTCCTCACCCCCCTCTTTGCCGCCCCCGAAGTGTGGGCCTGGAGGCCGAAAGCGACCCCAGACCGGTCACCGTCATTCTTCACGACGGGCCCGGGCTCCCTCGCGACAAGCCAAGCGATCTCAGCGCAACGCCGACAGCAACACCGTTGGCTCGGCCTCCTGGGGACGCACTCGTCCCTCCCGCCGGGCTCCCGCCGCGCTCCTGCGGGCCCTCCGTCGTGCCGGCCGCGAGGACCTCCCCGCATGCGAAGGCAGAGGGGGGGGGGCGGAGGGGGTGCAGTGAGCGACAGCCGATGGCCTACGCCCGACGAGGGCAACCGCCTGCAAGGAACTCCCACCCGGGATCAGGGATGACAAGCAGGGGGGCCGGCCGCCCGGAGCCCTCAGCTTGCCGTCGCTCGGACGTCCATTTCCCGTGCATTTTTCGGTTTCGTGCGTGTTTTTTTTGCTCGATGGTCCAGGATGGTCCTCGATGGTTCTCGCCGAGAAGAAATGCACACGTCCGAGCGATGCCAAGTCAAAGCTGCCGCCGCGGGCGGCGGCGCCCGCCCCTCGCGCCCCCTCGCAGGGCGAGGCCCTGCCTGGAGCTGGCCGCCGCCGGGCCTCTCGGCAGAGGCGCGGCCTCCTTCTCCGCGCGCGGCCTCCTATACAGTCGGGGCGTTGACCTAAGGAACCCGAAATAAGGAGCGAGGCCCCTTTTTCCCATGAGCTAACCTTCGATTTCCTGTCGGAAACATAAGGAAAGCCCGAGGCAAGCTGTGAAACACTCAAGGAACGCGGAGCCCCTCCCCAACGAAAAGGGTTCCTTCTTCAGGGCCCCGACTGTAGGGCGGAGGGGTCCGCCACCACTTGCCGTCGCTCGGACGTCCCTTTCCCGTGCATTTTTCGGTCTCGTGCGTGTTTCTTTTGTTCGAGGGTCCAGACCCAGACATGCGACGTCCTGATTTTTTCAGGACGGCGTCCCTGGAAGTCCAGACCCTTTCCCTGGGGCCGGTTTTTCGTCCTGACTCGTTTTTTGACGGTCCCGAGGCCCGGCGAGGGCCTCCCGGGGCCGAAGGTAGCGAAAAACCTCCCGTGCTGATTTTCTTACGACGCCATCATGTCTGGGGAATGGTCCTGGATGGTCCTCGCGGAAAGAGAAAAATGCACACGTCCGAGCGATGCCAGGACCATGGCCAGGCCCATCTCTTGGGCCCGGGAGCGAGGCGTGCGCCCTGCGGGCTCGGCGAGGCAGAGGCCGGCAGGGCACCCAAAAGCCCCCGCCCTCCCCAGGGCGCCTGGGGAGGGTCAGAGGAGGGGGAGGGGGAGGAGGAGGAGGAGGAGGGGGAGGAGGAGGAGGAGGAGGAGGAGGAGGAGGAGGAGGAGGAGGAGGAGGAGGAGGAGGAGGCGCCCACCTTGCCTTCGCCCTCCCTCTTTTAGAGACCCCCGTGGCCTTCCCACCCCCCCACGCTCGACAGCAGCCGACCCCCCCCCCCTTCATTCCAGAGACCTTCTGGGCCGCGTCCTCCCCCGGCCGGGCCGAATCGGAGCTCCGCGGGCGGTCCTGCCAGAGAGACGCGCCCGCCTCACTTCCGCTCCCCCTCCTGCTTCTTCGTCGCCCAATGACCTACCCGACCGCCCCAGCTCACCGAGTCGTTGGCCTTCGCGCGTGTCCTGACTACTCGCCCTATTCCGTGAGCGCGCGCGCGCACTGTCCAAGCCAAGTCTGCAGAGGCATGGGGCCATCATCCTCGCCAGGCCGTTTTTCGTCTGGTTGCCCATGTCCGACGCATATCTTGTGTTCGCCCTGCCCTCGGCGTTGCAAGCCCCGCCTCATCTTATCGCCGATCACCGTCGCATACCTCCTCC